AAAGTTTTGTATGAGCCTGTTCAATCTATTAACCATATAGTCCTGGCCACTGAAGTCAAGACTTTTCACATTCATCATTCCCTGCTTTTCCATACAGGTGTGGGTGTGCTGTCTCGTGGGAAATCATTTTCCCGCTTACAGGAATTGCGCTTTGAAGTCTTTTCTCTGTTGATGGACCACAATGTCAAATTAGCTAATCTACTGTCGTATTTATTAGATATTTCATGAAAATGAATGAGATGAGTCTTTTTTACAAGGGAAGAGTATCTAACTTTCGATGCTAATGACAAAGTTCGCGCCTTTAAAATAAAAATTCAGTTTTGGTATGAATCTATAGAGAAGGAAGAGTTTTCCTATGTTAAATTATTATTATTATTATTTGTTTGTTTTTTAAAGAAAATAAACTGGAGCTTGCGAACGGGCACGTTGAAGTTTGAAGATGTCCTTTTTGCAATACTTCCTAACAGCTCGAGACTACATTTGCTGCAAGTACATGAATGAGTGGTCAAACCATTTTCAGTTTCGACAAAACGAGCCAGTCTATTTTCAAGTTGATAGGAATGCTTGATAGACATTACTTCAGACACCACCTTGAAATCTACTTTCGAGCCCGATACTTACTCCCATTTTTGATTCCGACTGGAAAACAAAAAATTTCAACCGCTCGTTGAAAAAGCAAAACGTGATCTTCCATTTGCCACTACTTGCCTTTGCGAATCCGGATTTTGTATCTATACAACCACCAAAACTGAATACCGAAGCTATCTAGAACCCGACATGCTTATCCAACTATCAAAAAAATATAAAAACAAATGATTCTTGTATTAATTCCAGGATTGTTAAAATATAAAATAATTATTTTATATGAAACAAAATCTCAAATTAATAAGAGAATCCATTTGTTTTTTGTTTTTAAATTAATTTTGATTTTAATTGTAATTAATTTTTATATGGTCTTATAATAGCTCAATCATTTTATATTTAAACAAAAATTCGCCAACATACAGGAATTGTGCTTTACATGCTTATATTTCATACGATCTCCTAAATATTTTAATACTATAAAGAAAGGGATTTTTTGAAATGAAATAAATAATTTGAATTTAAAATAAGTTAATTCGACGGAAAAGTTAATTTGAACGAAAAAGCTATGCGAGTTAAAATACAAAATTTATATCGTTAAGTTACAGTAAATCGTTAATTAATATTAGTATTTGATCATCTAAAATCAATTAAGGCTAACAAATTGTAAGATTAAAATTAAAAAATAAATAAATAAAAACAAATGATTATTCTATTAATTGCAAGGTCTTTAAAAAAACGAAATAATTATTTAATAGATCAATAATTGTATATAAAAAAAATATCAAATATTCAGGAATTTTATTTTACGTGCATACATTTCATACGATCTCCGATGTTTTTTAATGCTGTAAAGAGAGGGATTTCGGATATTAAAAAGGGTTAATTTGAAATTAAAAGGTATGCTTATTTTTATGTCTTAATTTTATTTATTTATTTAGTTTTTGGATTTTAAGTTTGCAATTTGCTCAAAGTGAGTACCGAAAATAGGTAACCCTTTTTTTAATAAATAACCTATAACAAATTCAAAAATTGATCTATAAAGCAACTATGTATAAACAATAATAAATTACTATTAATAATAAATAAATAAAACTTTATACACTAATAAATATATCCAAGAAAATAAGTTAAACTAATATAAATAAATTTGAATTAATAAATTATATTGTTCAATGTTAAATTATGACCTCAGTCTTATCCGTCCAGCCATCGAAGTTGGGCTCCAGGTGCTATGAACGGGCCAATTCATGCCAATTCAGCACCCAACGCATGCAGTTCCAAACCCATTCGTACTCACGTTCATTCTTAAAAAAATTCACTCCTATTTTCATACCATTCATTCAAGTAGGGTGATGGAGTACTCGATATTCCTCCATCATCCTTTACACATATTATACAACTAGCCTAATTGGGGTACTCGATGTTCCGCCATCAAACCTCTCACATCACAAATTCACGCTAATAAATACATTCACTCTTAACACAACCTTTACACACAAGTACCCTAACTGAGAGGGTCGATAGCGGAACCTCGAGTTCCCATCGACCCTCTCACTTCACACGTCATGCTAATAAAGAATTCACTCTCAACACAATCTGTGTATACATATCTATTATTACCTTGTACGATAGAACAACCCCATTTCCTCCAAGAATCGGAACAGGGGAACACAAATACTCGCTGCCGTGTCAAGCTCAATTCTTGAATCGAGTTGCATTCCTGCACCCTTCAGTTAGGTGAGACACTTCGAGCAACCTTTCTCGGCTTGCCGGACACACACGCGGGCTTTGGCCCAAAAGTAAGAAGTATATGTATAGAGTTAATGGGTTTAATAAATCACAAATTCACGCTAATAAAAACAATTTACACACAACTAGCTTAACTGAGGGTCGATGGGAACTCGAGGTTCCGCCATCGACCCTCTCACATCACACATCAAGCCGGACATATACGCGGGCTTTGGCCCAAAAGTATGAGTTCGTGTGTAGAGTTAATGGGTTTAATAAATCACAAATTTATTGTGCTAATAAAAAAAATTCACTCTCAACACAACCTTTACACAAAACTAACCTAACTGAGGGTCGATGGGAACTCGAGCTTCCGCCATCGACCGTCTCACATCACACATGCTAATAAGTGTTCAAGCACAATTCTTGAATCGGGTTGTATTTCTGCACGCTCTCTGTATGGAGCCAAGAAATTGCACCCTTCAGTTAGGTGGGACACTTCGAGCAACCTTTCTCTGCTTGCCGGACACATACGCGGGCTTTGTGCCGGTATTATTAAAAGTAAGAGTCCGTGTGTAGTGTTAATGGATTTAATAAATGTTTTGTGCCGTATATTTGTTTTAAAACTTGAGATCTTTGATTTTTAAATGTATTACGTTTATTTGGTGTGTTCTAAATCTTCTGTTTTTGTTTTTTCTTTGTTTCGTGTATTTTTACATACCGAAACATATGAACATTTTTTATTCTTCAAATCGTTGAAAATGGCCGAGTAGACATATGATTTTATGTTTGCACACACTTGTCACATTTTGTGCTACTCGATAAGCTGTTTGTGACTGGCTGATAAGCACGTAAATCATATTTGACAGTTGTTTTTATTCTTTATAATAGATTAACGTATGGGTTTATATTGGTGTAAAATGTATTCTCAAAACTACTTTTGTGAATATTGGTACAACATATGTATATTGTTATTATTAAAGCGTATGACGCCGGAGGGTGGCGAATTAAAAATTTGGCGAAAGGAAAACTCAAATAATAATGGACTGTGGTAATGACACATCTTTTAGCTTTTTTTAAAACTTAATATAGGTGGGAAAAACACAAAATTTAATATAATATATAACAGAAAAAGTACTTTTGACAGTCGACGTAGAGAAAGTACTGATTCAGTAATCAAGCAACAAGCTTGCGTAATCGCATTTTGCAACATTTGAACGAGGTGCTTAACTAACTGAACCGACTTTTGAGACACGGGGAAAAAGCGAAAGTACTTTTGTAAATTTGTGTAAAAAATGTAAATTTCATTCTCAAAACGACCTAATTGGCCCAAAACCATTAAATTTTTACAAAACGAGCCGTTGAACCATCATTCTGACCCTTCGCACTTAAAAAAACATTATCACCAATACAAATTTTATGCTGATAGGATGACAGTACTCGCCTTGACGCTTTCTTGTTTACAAACGTCAGCACGTCGAATGCACAACGTAATTTCCTTTTGTGTATAAATTAACAATTATTGTTTTGAATAACGACCTGATGTATCATGCCGACATGGAATTTTGCTCTTCAACACTAAAAATACGGAAAAGCCAAGAATTTGAGAGAAAAATTATTATTCGATTAACAATTTTGGAAAACAAAATTAGCTAAAAAAGTTTATTGTTTGGACGTTTGATTTTAAAAGCTGAAAAGTCAAAATTTGACAAAACGATATAAAAAACTAGAACAATTACAAAAAAAGCCCACTAAAGCATTAAAAAATATCAAAAAATTTCAAATGAACTCTTCTTAACTTCAGATTAACCCTTAATTTCAATACAACGCTTTTTAATTTCAATTTAACCCTTTTTAAATTCAAATTAATCATTTTTAATTTCAAATGAACCCTTTATTTAAAGCAATGAAAACATAACAAATGGGATGAAATAAATTAAAATTAAAAAATTAAGAATTTTTGTAGAGCTCCTAAAAGATTATATGCAAATTAATTTAAAAAATAAAATTAAGTATAAAAATAAAGGATTCTTCTTTTAATTTGTGATCTTTTAAAATATAAAATCGGTTCTTACCTAAAAAAACTAACATGAAAATTACAATTAAAATTAAACCATTTATGTTTAGTGATCTAATTGACCACATTAATTATTTCAATTAATTTAAACACCTTACATAAAAAGAATAATTAATTAAAATTAAATTTCAAAATTGAATTTGAAAAGAAACGATTCTTTTATTAATTCCAGGATTTTTTGAAATATAAAATAATCATTTTGTATATCAATTATTTTATATTAAAAATCTCGAATAAATATAAGAATCATTTGTTTTTTTAAAATTAATTTTTAATTTTAATTGTAATTAGTTGTTCACCGTACCTAACCACGCCTAACCGTTGCGGCCACCGACGCCCTTAAAAGGGGTTTTTGAAATACAAAATAATTAATTTAAATAGCAATTATTTTTTATTAAAAAAAAACACCCTCGAATCATTTGTTTTTACTTTTTATGTTTACACAATTTAAAAAAAAAATGAAAACGAAAACGTCTAGACTTGACAAAATGATCCAAAAAATTAGAAAGACATTTAATAAAACCAACTTCCTCTCTGCACGTCGAGTTTTTCGGCAAAACTTCGAACACTTGGTACAAATTTCCGGATGTTTAATTTTTGAAATGTTTACCTCAATATCTGCAGGATGAACGCTGTACATGGCTGGCTTGTTGTGAATAACTGAAACTAGAAGAGCGCTGGTGCTTATCTGGTCTTTTCTGTTATGTAATTATCGTCAAGATTATAATTTCTGAGATAAACAAAAACCTATTTATTTCAAGATTTAAAGAAGAAAGTCGAAGTTTTTTCAACTGTTTATTATTTATTGATGTGGGCGTGCGTACATACAATGACTTTTTATTTTATTATTACAAGCAATTTGTTACCTTTATCAATTTTATATTATAAGGTCCAAGGTTTTATGGAGTCGTCTGTAGTTTGAGAATAAATGGGATGTAATGGTCTGTGTGAATAGTAAGTTTGGATACCTTAACTAGATTGGGCAATGGTTTGAAGGACGTGACTAGATTTTTTGGAGGTTGGTTGAACCCACAGTTCAATTTTGTCCATTTTGGTTGTTGTAGTGATGTCTACATTAGGCTTTTATTTTGTAGTTTTGATCTTTTTTCGAGTCTTTTGAGTTGTATACATCAGTTCTATTCTTTTGAGCCAATCAAACCATGTGTCTTTTGTCGATATCAAGTCTTAAAAACTGAACGTCATTGGTTGCTGGAAGAGGAACTGTATAAGTCTCATACATTACAAACTAGTTGGAGTAGTTTGGAAAAGAGGTGAGACGGCAGAGGGTGAAGGATATTTGCTGGAATTTGGTTTCGTTTAGTCTGATGCTCCATTTCTTGATCCAGTCCTGGTGGTTTCTGAAGGTTATTACTGGATTTGAATTTGCTTATAAGATGGTAAGCTGGTAGTATGTTCTGTATATATGAGGAGTACTAGGATTTATAGGATTGTTTGAAGTGTTTACTGCAAAGGGAATGGAACCAAGGATAATGAACAGTACTTTTGGTCCTGGAGATTTTGTAAGGTCTCTGGGTTTGGGTTTACTCAAAGGATGGTGGTATCATTTGCATATGTGAAGAGTACTGAGATTGATAGGACTGTCTGCAGTGTATACTGAAAAGGGAATGGGACTAAAGATTATCTTCTAAAGTTCATTATTGGAGAGATTTATGGACAGAACCGATTCTGAACAGTTTATAGTGCCAACAATAATATTACAGATCAATAAACATTCATATAACTTTCTACAATCTGAATGTGTGGCTAAACATAAATAATGTCTTAAGTAATCATAGTCCATGTTGGACTTGGGAATGTGTCATTTGAGAGCTAGTGTACAAATTTATTTTGTATATCTTCTATCATCTTATTGTACTTATCGAACTCAGGAAATCATACAAATTTGTAAAATACTTGGTATTCCAGATGATAAAACCCAGTATTCTTGAAATTTTGGATGTGATTTTTATTTTGAAAGAGAATTTATGATCTAATATTATTGCCACGTCACGAATAGTACCAGATACTTAAGCTACTAACTTATACAAGATTAATTAAGAGTGTTATTTAAATGACATGTTGGATTATATTAGCAGATCGAGAAAATGTTATAACAGAACACTTTGAAAGGTTCATTCTAATTAAATTTTCTAAACACCATTTATCCACATGTCTTAACGGTCTGGTGTAGAGTTTTGCATTCTGAGCTGTGCTGATCTCTGTAAATAATGTAAGATCAACTGTAAACATTAAGTTTCTAGCACCATGGAAAGAGCTGGTGATATTATTAAAAAATAGGAATAGCAAAGTGCCAAGGTGTGAGCCTTCAGGCACGTAATTTTTTTCTCCAAATTTTTGCTTTGAAGATGTTAAAACGTGAACACTGCCTTGGTGCCAGCAATGCTGGCACTCGGTGTAAGGGATTAAGGGGTAAGGAGGTCCCTAGGCCATCGACGATGAAGGTGACTTCTAGGACCATATGCGAGGTGTAGAGAAGGCTCAAGGAGTAGGGTTAGGATAGATCGAGATTTGTCTGAGGACTTTTGATTGGAAGGATTGGATGCATTGGATGTTGGATGGCTTTGAAAAACCCAACAGTTCCACTCTGAATGTCCAAAGTGGTCACAGTAATGTCTTGTGTAAGGTTAGTTTATTTTAGGTTAGTTCATGATACAAAGATTTTCGGTCCTAGAAATCTTTGTAATTGTCCAACTGTTCTGTTAAGTTGTTAAGTCTTGTGTGGGGATTCCACGTCAGTTTGCTGTTAAGGTATTGTCTTAAGTATTTGACGCATGAAAGTCTCTCTGTGTATTGTGTATTCATTCTAATTAAATTTTCTAAACACCATTTATCCATATGTCTTAACGGTCTGTATAGAGGTTTGCATCCTGCACTGTACTGATCTCTGTAAATAATATGAGATCAACTGTAAACATTAAGTCTCTAGTACCATGGAAAGGGAATAAGAAAAGCAAAGTCAAGCACTCAAAAAACTTGAAGGTGTACAAAGAAAAATCGCTCTACAAATAATAAAAGGATATAGGACAATTTCGTATGAAGCAGCTTGTATCATGGCAGGGGTAGCCCCGATCAAACCTAAACTAAGGGAACTAATGGATATTACTTCACCATAAAATGGCCACTCAACAACAAAGCCTTCCCTGCACTTATCGTGGAACCCACACTGACTTTAAATGAATGGCCCCATCCGTATTATAGAACTCAAGGAATCACAGAGTCAGTATCATGGCAAGACAAGATCGTAATATACGCCGATGGGAGCAAAATGAATAATGAGGTTGGAGCAGTCCTAGCCATCTATGGAAAAGACAACAAACTGCAAGAAACAATACAAATTAGACTCGCTAGCTGGTGCCCGAACAACCGAGCTGAACTCATTGCTATCCTGAAGGCTCTTCAATGGCTCGCACAGCAGGATGTTGGGGAAGTGAACAAAAACGCGATAGTGATGACAGACAGCTGCATATCCATCGATAAAATTAAAAATTACAAAGCACGAAGCCTGATGGTATCGACATCAGAAATATGATAAAATCATTGCGTGATAATGGCTGGAATATCAGTATTGAAAAGGTACCAGCGCACACAGGGATCCAAGGCAATGAGGAAGCCGACGCAGCAGCAAAGGAAGCTACAGAAAACTCTGAACTAGAAACAACAATCACAGTAGTGCCGAAAAGCTACGTCATCTCCATGGCCTCGAAAATGACATTGGCCCAATGGGAAGAACGTTGGAGACGTACTGCTAAAGGTCTTCAAACTAAAAAGTTTTTCCCAACGGTAGACTCAAGGATGGCAGTAAAACTGAAACATCACCATATGCTTACCCAAATCAAGAATATCTCTGTAGATTCCACATAACACGGGATTCGGAATGCGACTGTCTAGGGAGACCTCAAAAAACATGGGACCATATCTTATTCGACTGCCCCATTCAAGAACCATGCCGAAAATCTCTAATAAGGGACGTTGTGTGTAAAGGTGGACAATGGCCACCCGACCATCACAGTTTGATTAGAGACCATATTGAAGCCTTAAATAATTTTATTAGTAAAATTGTATTAAATTAATTGTAAATAATAATTATATATGGTTATGAATACCTGAAATCACTATGGGATCAGGTACTAAATAAACACACACACACACACACACACACACACACACACACACACACACACACACACACACAAATAGACATGCTTCTCTTTTAGAAGTAATTATTTTGTTGTATATGTAAAGATTTTATTTTGTTTGTAAAAACACTCAGTCTTGTTATTTAGGAAATGAAAACAAACAAACAAGTTCAAAATCAGTGATATGAGAAGTAAATAAGTGAATTTAACTTGTTTATCATTCCAATGAACATCTTGACATTTACTTGCTACCAGCTTATCTTCTTATTATAATCTTAGTTATTAAATTTTGTTAGTATGACCGAGTTAAAGAATATTGCAAAAGAAAATTATTTTCAAGGTGTGCAAAAGGTATTAGCCATAATCTTACGCTTTGATCTTGAAAATAAATAAAAAAATTGGCTAACTGTTGCACAAATTATATATCAAACATGTCTTTTTAGGAGCACACATATAATATAACATGATTTTTTTTGCAAAAATTGAACCCATTTCTCAATGGTCTAAGGCAGGTCAGACCCAACCAATGCCAAATGACAATTCGGTCCTATACATTGAACAGTCAGACTAACTCATTGAGATTAGGCAGACCATGACTGTAAGGAACAAATCACAAGTCGATCACCCTGCAAACCACAGGAAGAAATCTCACAAATGTACAGGCTGGTTTATGAAAAGACATGTTCCATTATAGTACCACTTTAAAAAAAGTAACTATGAACAGGTGACTAATGATGATTCTGTCTAGAATAATAAGTGAGAAAACATTGTATGCAACTGCCTTGCAATAGCTAGGAAAGGCAAACAAATCCAGGACAACCATTCTTGAGCAATGCTCACCTAGATATCTAGATCAACCTAGATAGTTAATGTTGTTGGACTATTATTCGTGAATGAATAATAATAGAAAAGCACATTTAAAGATATCCTTCAGTAAAGTACCACCTTAAACAAATGGAACTATCAGCAGATGACAATGACAATTATGTCTAGAATAGACAGAAAAGAGAAAATGTTCTATGCAACATGACCCACAATAGCTAGGAAAAGGCTGTTCTGTGACCTAAGGCAACCATTCTTGAGCAAAGTAAGCCAAGATATTTAGGGTTAATACTCATATGAGTGGTTGTACTCCACTACACCTGACAAAATTGTATAGTATGATTAACAACTTTCTATAATCAATTAGTCCTTATATTGTAGATTTGTACCAATACCTTCTTAATAAATATTTGGTTTTTTGGACAACTGTTTTCCTTAAGAATCAAAGAGGTGTTTAATTATTCTTGAACATAAAGTAAAGTGAAAAACCCAATATAAGTAATTTTCACCATATAAATTTTTCCGAAGGTCCTGGAATTTGCATTCAAGACTAAACTCACAGCATTTTTGGAAATTCAGAATATTCTTGTTCAAAGTCAATATGATTTCAGAAAGGAAGTGAGTACAACAGACTTATTAATTAGTTTAGTGAAAACTATACACACAGCCTTGGAAGGAAATAAACTAGTGAAATAATTACAATGATTTAAGTAAGGCTTTCAACGCGAATCATGAAATTCTATTGATATGGTGGTATTCTAAATAGATATGGTGTGAGATCGGTTTCAAATAAATTTTCTCAAGGTTTTTTGATGGAGAAATGTCAATGTGTAAAATCACACCTCAATGAAAATTGTCAAGTGTGGAGTACCAAAGGGTTCTCTCTTTGGTCCTGTCTTTTTCCAAATTGATGTGAATGATTTGGTTTCATCCATTCAAACTGATGTCATAAATCATATGGAGTCATTACAACTTGTGGAAGATTCGCCTGTTGTATGCCATGCGAAAGAAAAAAACACACCTTGACTTCCCTGTCAAGAATTTAAGATACATAATGGAGCGGTTCAGTAAAAATTCTATGCGTGTTAATGTGAGAAGTGTAAGGAAATGCCGGTCATATTAAAAAAAGGGGTTTTGATACCATCCTGTATCTAAAGCTTTTGGTTTATGGGCAGACAATTGTCTCACATGGCTAGGAGACAATCACTGTACTACCTCAGGGTGGAAATGAAAAATATTGCGTTGTTGGAAGAAAAACAAAAAAAGACCTATAGTCTTATCATTTCGGGCCACCTCTGCTTCATTCACCTGACTGGGTTGTAGGGGTGGCTAAGGATTTTTTTTTAATGAAGGGATTTAACTATGAGGTTATATGAACCCTTGGGGGGTGTTCGACTTTTAGCATTTTGACCATATTAGCGATTTAAATTCCAATTAAACATTACAGTTGGAAAATTTGTCTGGCTCACTACAATTCCCATTGGATTTTTATTTGTTTAATTAATTAATTGTTTTAAAGCATTTATGTTTCCCACATTTTGAGACATTTCTCAATATAACACACTTAAAAGATTTTGTTTTTTGTACATAAATATTATATTTTTAATAACGATTTAACTGAAACTTACACTAATATAATTTGGGCCAGAATTTTAATAATGTGTTAAAGAAATAGCATAACTTGAAAACAATTATATATATATATATTTTTTTTTTAAAGATTTCCTTTTTTTTAAAGTAAAATTGATATTACATTTTAGCCTTACCTCGGCTGATTGTCATATCAGGAATGTCTTCATATAATTATTTTTAATACTTTGTTGTAAACTAACCAAGGGGGACTACACACCTGAGATCACCAATCTGAATGAAACTTTTAAGCTTTCTGTTTTTTTTTGCACATTTTTTTAAAGGTTATTATATATCAGTCAATTTTTGGTTTTACCTACATTAATAAAATATACAGGATTGCAGGATAAGACGTACAAAAAGTTACTTCTTGCATACATAAGTATGCCCCTTCATATATCTTTTAAAAGAAACTATATATTAATTATTAATTAATTATTAATTATCTTAATTGAAAATATAAAATGCTAATGATGCGTGTAAATTCCCGAAATGCCCCAAAAATTCAATGTAAAATTAAAGCAGAAAATATAAAAAACATGTAAATTTTTTTAAAAATAAAAAACACAAATTAGAAAAGTATTATGCAATGTTATTGTAAGTCGAAGTAACGATAGCTCAAGTGGTTAGAGCAGTGGAGTATTGAGCCGAAGGTCGTGGGTTCGAACCCTGCTCATGGCAATAACTTTTTCATTTCAACCAAAACCTTACAAAAAAAAGATTAATTAATTGAAAGAAGGAATTTGGTCAATAGACCACTAAATATATTGGAGTTATTGTAGGTCTTGGGTCCGCTTGTCATTCAATACTACTGCACATTAACAGCATTGTGCAATTCAGGTCTAGGGTCCAATTGTCATTCAATACTATTGCACAATTACAGTACTGTGCAATTCAGGTCTAGGGACCGCTTGGCATTCAATACTACTGCACATTAACAGCATTGTGCAATTCAGGTATAGGGCCCGCTTGCATTCAATACTACTGCACATTAACAGCATTGTGCAATTCAGGTATAGGGCCCGCTTGGCATTCAATACTACTGCACATTAACAGCATTGTGCAATTCAGGTATAGGGCCCGCTTGTCATTCAATACTATTGCACATTAACAGCATTGTGCAATTCAGGACTAGGGTCCACTTGTCATTCAATACTATTGCACATTAACAGGACTGTGCAATTCAGGTCTAGGGTGTCCGATTGTCATTCATTACTATTGCACATTAACACTACTGTAGAATTTAGGTCTAGGGTCCCCTTGTCATTCAATACTATTGCACAATAACAGTACTGTGCAATTCAGGTCTAGGGTCCGCTTGTCATTCAATACTATTGCACATTAACAGCGTTGTGTAATTCAGGTCTAGGGTCCGATTGTCATTCAATACTATTGCACATTAACACTACAGTACAATTTAGGTCTAGGTTCCGATTGTCATTCAATACTATTGCACATTAACACTACTGTACGATTTAGGTCTAGGTTCCGATTGTCATTCAATACTATTGCACATTAACAGGACTGTGCAATTCAGGTCTAGGTTCCGATTGACATTCAATACTATTGCACATTAACAGTACTGTGCAATTCAGGCCTAGGGTCCGATTGTCATTCAATACTATTGCACATTAACACTACTGTACAATTTAGGTCTACGGTCCGACTTAGAAAGTGACTTCTCGTGCTTAAAACCCCCAAAGGGAATTCGTTGCAGAGTGGAAAAATGCCTAAAGTAATAAAAAAAGAAGAAAATTTGGGTAGAAGATGGGTTTATTGGGGGTGGCGTGACGAGAGAGGAAGTGTCGCGATCCGACGGCCGGCGGTGGAGAAACTGTAGACGGGCTCCAGTATTGCAGATGGGGCGGCGATCCGTTTTTTTTCCAGTGGACCTGGCGTCCCGTCGAAAACAGTTTTTATCAAATATTGGATGGAAAATGTTGGCCGTCAAGTGAAGGGGCTGTGTTCAGAACTCGGAAGGGGCCCCATCCGTAAAAGTGGCAAATCGGCGGCGAATGTAAGCCGGATGAGAAATGTCGTCCGGCCGTGGATTTCCTTCGTAGAAAAAATCCTTTTTCTAAATATTCGGTTTTCTTTAAGGGCTGGTCGTTTGGAGGCGGTGAAAATGGGGCGATCGGAGGCCGTGTATACGGCGTGTGGAACGTGGATGTGTCGGTGGTCGCGGTTCGTGGGGTCCGGGACGCCCCCTGACGTCGGATCCCCGAAGCTCCGCATCCTGTCGTCGGTGACCACATGGTTCCGTATCCTTGTTCCTTCACTTTTACTCGGCAGTGTTTTCCTTCGACTCGGCAGAGACAGAATCGAAAGTGTGTAATTTCCTCGTTTCGGCCGGTTTTCGCCCCTTTTTTCGATTCGTACGCCCTTCGTTCTCTCATCGAGCGCAGCCATCACGAAGCCGGACCGACTCCTCGCATTTTGACGCGTTACAATAAGGTTATTGCGAGTTTTATTATTGTCGAGAGCGTGGCCCCGTGTCGCGTTTCTGCCTCTCTTCCAGACTCTTTCCCACATGTGACGTGACAGTCGACCTGTCCGCCATCCGAGTGAGTCCGATTTTTACATATCTGAGGGGATTTTTCGCCTTTTTTCCTTCCACCCCGGAGGTGTCTTTTCGAGGGGCTCCGTCGAAAGTGCGTGGGACCGAATCAGTCGTAGAAGGTGTCCGGATCGCCGCTCATGCAGGTACGCCAGACTCGTCTACCCCGGGAGTAGATATCCGTCCGCAAAGTCCGACACGATAACAAATGTGTTGTGAGACGGGGGAGAAGGCATCCGTCGACGTAACCAAAGGATCGAATTGAGAGAGACCGGGATAAAGGGCCGTCGAGGCGGAGAGGAGGAAAACTGGTTGTCGTGAGGTCGGACAGACGAACGGACTGACACGATGGCCACGCAGATCGGCCAGGAAAAGAGCCAGAACCAGCCGAAAGAGCAGCCGGGCGCGTCGTACGCGAGTGCGGTCTTGAACTTCAAGACGATAGACAACAACAACAAGGAAAACATGGGCGGAGAAGCTCTCGAACCGGCGGCTCAAACCGACCAGGGCTGGGAGACGCAGAAGTCGAAACAGAATTCTAAGACGAAGACGGCGGACGGATTCCCGACGATCAACGCCAACGGGAAGACCGTCCCGGCGCAGAAGAACAACGGCAAAGACACCAAGAACAACGTCCCCAACCCCAACAACGGCAACGGAAAAAACGAAGAGCCGCCGGCCAAGCCACTCGCGGAGGCTGAAGCACCGGCCAAAGAAGTCGAAAAAGTCAAATTCGTCGAAGCTCCCATTCCAAAAGTCAACCCCTGGTCCGTGAACAAAAATGCGGCCCAAGTCATCAAAGGTGGGACAGCAGAGCCGGCCAAGAGACAGAATAAAAGCGCAGAGAACTACCCCAACAACACCACTGGCAGGGTTTTACAGCCCCACACAATCGGTACGTTTTTTTTTTCATTCGCATTTTTATCATTCACAGACGACACGCTTCCGTCCGATCGCCCCACAATAATATCACTCGTATCACAAAACGGATAACGCAGTTCTCACACTGGAACCTACTTAAACGGGTACTTTAGTTCAGAACTATGAGGTTGGGATTTTTTTTTCCATACTGCGCACGACCTAAAACCCCAAATGTCAATGCAAACTCACCAAAGTAGAAACTGAAGGAGAGCGGCATTTAAAATGATAAATGTTTGGGTTTAAATAATGAATGTTTTTAAGGTACAAAATAAGAGAATTAGTAAAATGCCCTTTACATGCATCGTCCTTGTGGATTCGTTGAGTGTAGGTCGAATTTTCTTTACAAAATATTAATTCAACTTTTTAGTACAACGTATAAATTCATTTGGGGGAGTCGTACCAGTAAAAAAATAATCCAAGATTTTTGATTATCCGTGTGCGCCGACCTTTTTCACTCTAGACCCGAATTAAATGCCACCAAGTCCATTTAGTTCTGAAATTTGACTCGATCCCAGTAAGCTGGGCTTTTTGCGTACGATGGTCAACGTTAGGCACCAAATTTCAACGCAAACCCCAAAATAAAAAATTAAATAGACAGGGCTTTAAAAATGAAATGTTTGGGTTTAAATGAACGTTTTTAAGTTGTAAAGTTAGAAAATTAATCAAATGCCCCTTACTGCATCGTCCTTGTGGATAACGTTGAGCGTAGGTCGAATTTTCTTTACAAAAAATATTAATTCAGCTTTTTAGTACTTAGTGATATTTTGGGGCGTCGTACCGGTAAAAAATAATCCAAGTGATTTTTGATTATCCGTGTGCGCCCAACTTCGCTCTATTTTCTTTCACCCTGGACCCGCCTTAATTTCCAATAAGTCCGTTTAGTTCAGAACTTCGATCCCAGCAAGCTGAGATGTTTCTTACGTACGACGGTCGACATAAGGTCTCGAATTTCAAATGCAAGCTCTCCAAAGTAAAAACTTAAAACTTAAAAACACATAAAAGATATAAGAATAAAAACTAAAATATATTAAAGCTTTAAATTTATTCCTCCTATGTGTGTTACATAAAGTGTCCAAATTAGTGACTTATTATTAATCAAGCAATTTAAAAAAAAAAAAAAAAAAAAAAAAAAAAAAACATTTTTAGTAAAATTTTGCCAGAAAGCTTGAGTATAGGGTAGTTTTGAATGAAATTACTAAAAATATGTATATAAAAAATTGGTTCTTATTTAAAGTAGCACATAAAAATTAATTACAATTAAAAGTTACATAAAATTAAATATAAAAAGAAATTTTTCGTCTATTAATTAGAGGTTTTTTTAAAATGCAAAATACTTGCTTTACAGACCGATCATTTTATATTTAAACAAAAACCGCAAATATTCCAGAATTTTACTTGACATGCTTTCATTTCCTACCACCACTTAAGTTTTTTATTGCTTTAAAGAAAGGGTTAATTTGGATGTAAAAACGGTTAATTTGAAGTTAGACAGGTACACTTTAAATTAAAAAGGGTTAATTTGAAGTTAGACAGGTTCGTTTGTAATTAAAAAAGGTTAATTAGGATTTAAAGTGGTTAATTTGAAGTTAGAAACGTTAATTTTAAATTAAAAAGGTTAATTTGGATTTAAAAATGGTTAATTTGAAGTTAGAAAGCTTAATATGAAGTTAAAAAGGGTTAATATGGATGTCAAAACGGTTAATTTGAAGTTAGACAGGTTCGTTTGTAATTAAAAAGGGTTAATTAGGATTTAAAGTGGTTAATTTGAAGTTAAAAAACGTTAATTTGACGGAAAAAAGTTATACTTTAAGAAGTAAAATTATAAGTAAATGAGAGGAAGATCAACACATTTTGAATTATATAATGTAAATAAATTTTAATTAATTAAAACAAATTCTCTAAAAACAACTAAAAACGAACACCCTTAAAATGATAATCTTCATGTTCTTCATCTGTTAATTCTTAAACGCAGGTAATTCACATAATAAACTTAAAGAAAGACTAAATATATTATTAATTCTTAGTAAAAATCTGTTGATAATTGTCATCATTGAATAATTTGTAAATACCTGGGCGTGTTTTTTGATTCATAGCCTAGATTTAACGGTCATTTAAAAATTGTTTGCTGGGACGGAGTCGCAGGTCAGAACTGAACGAACGCAGTCGTACGATTAAGTCGGTTACTGTGTGAGGCCAATTGGATTTTTTTTTTCTTTTTTTACAAAGTACGACTCTCATATAAACATACACTCAACACTATAAAGTTGAATGAATAATTTCCTTAGAAAAGTCGACCTAAATACAAGTGCATTACTCTAATTTGGGTTAGTGTACAACTAAAAAACATTCTGTTAGCAACCCTTTAAATAAAAAAAACACACGTGCAGATGTGTTTCATCTGCCACGATTGGTTGTATTGTTGAAAAAAAAAAATGATATTCCATTTATAAAACGTCTGTGAAACACACCACGTAATTTAGTTTGCCTTTGCGAAACATATGGGAACACGTCTCCCACGTACAGCCAGGAGTTTTATTTCTTGTTTTTATTAATACGTGGTTATTTCTATGGTTGCTCATTTGGCCAAGGCGAAAAATGTTATCGAAACTTTCTACGTCAAATATGTTTATGCGATATTGTATTGGGTTGTTTTACAAGAAACGTCCGATTTTACAGTTTCAGAAATTCAGAGAGGATATAGCGGTTTTCTGTTGTATACTTCCAATTGTTTTCATATGATAGGTAAACATTTATTAATCCTCCATTTTTGTTTATAATGATGAGCTCCCCAATCCATTACACTCTTTTTAGCATACCTCCAAATATTAACACGGAAACACTCGATTTTCGTCTCATATTCCTTTTCGAGTTTAAACTCGGTCGGCAGCTGAGGCTGCAAGAAACATCAGTAAGGCATTTGGGGAAGGGACCAAAAACGGACCAAAAACGGACCATTCGCCGTTGGTTTGCTAAGTTTTCGGAAGTGAATACCGAATTGGAAAACGAGCTCCGCGGAAGATCTCCAACTATAATTGACAACGATGTCCATAAGTTTTGAGGTGGAACAAAACCACCACAGTCAGAGGACTCGCAGCCCAACTAAATGTGCGCAGCTACCATGTCAAGACAATTAAGAAACATAGGAAAAGCCAAAAAGCTTTGCGTCCCTCACGAGTTCGCTGAGCGTCAGCAGTTACAGTGCCTTCAGACATGCGTTTCGTTGCTCGCCAGGCAAAAAAACCGAGCCTTTTCTTGAAAGAATAACCACTTGAAAACTAGATTGCATATGGTAATCAGCGTCGGTCAGGGCAGTGGTTAAACATCGACGAAAGACCAGAGCACATGCCAAAACCACATTTTCACCCAAAAAAAATTGATGGTGATCTTACTCCTTTTTGCCTAGAGGTGATACCATACCTCTACATCGTACTGCAAGGAAATCGACGAAATGCATAAAAAATAACTAAAAAAAAGCAATCTGCATTAGTAAATCGGAAAGGTCCTATACTCCTCCACGACAACGTCAGGCATCATGTTTCAAAACCAGTAAATAAATTGAAAGAGCTTGGCTGCGAAGTTCTTCAGCATCCACCTTGTTCAGACTTGTCTCCGACAGATTATCACCTGTTTGGGAACTTAGACAATTTCGTCAAAGGAAAATTTTTTATTTGATGTTCAAGTCCAAAAAACGTTTTCAGATTTTGTTTCATTCCAAAGCTCAGATTCTTCAGTTCCGGCATAAGAAAGTTGGTAACGCGTCGGGAAAAATGTGTAGAAAATGAAGGGAAAACAGAATAAAATGATTTTTTATTCATATAGTAATTTTACTAAAAAAACCTTTACCTCGGAAACGAACATTTCATGTGAAACAACCCAATAGACTCTCATGGTCGCATGGCTTTACAAATTGTACTTAAGTTAGTAATAATGGTGAATTTATTATAACTTTTTTTATTATTAACGTGGTATATTTTGATATGTGCATACTTCTCGCACGCGCAATTCCAGATTTTGTACTTTATAATGAATTACCGGCAGGCCTCGAGAATCGACCACCCCGGGTGTTGGCAGTTCGGGGGTCAGACCTCGCTTCTTATCCGTCCAACCGCCGAGGTTGGGCTCCGGGTGCTACCAACATCTAGATCGTTTCAGCCCAAACGCAATCAGTTCCTAAATCCAAACGATTCGCATTCTCACTCACTCTTAAATACATTCTTTTTTATTTACATATCATTCACTCAGTTAGCGTGATGGGAGTACTCGACATTCCTCCTCGAGGATGGAGTATTAAACACCCTTTGCACCTATTATATAACTAACATAATCGAGGGTCGATGGGTTTTCGATATTCTGCCGTCAGTCCTATCACGCTGTACATTCACGCTAATAAATACGTTCACTCTCAGCACACGCTAGGTACACAAAACTGTCAGTAATATAAACAGTAAAAAACCCTGTTTCCTCTAAAAATCGCAAAAGGGGACTCAGATACTCGTCAGATCAGATTCCTACGCGCTTTCTATATGGAATGCGAAGGAAATGCACCTCTCAATTAGGCGTGGCACATCGAGAATTTCTCTGCGTACTGGATAAATACGCGTGCTTTAGCGCAAAAGTATGTCTTGTGTCAATCTTGCATGGCCTATTCTTAATCCTTGTTCTACGAGTCAGGTCCCCCCTTTTTGACGTGGATCTTTATTGGGTACATATACGTTTTACTATTAGGGTGAAGACGAAAATATTTTTAATTTTAGTGTAAAAAAATGTTCCCTGTTGACTTTACACAGATGAATATATAAATGTGTTATTTTCTTTACTGTTATACATTAAATTTAAGTCATAAAAGCTCTATTTGGAACATTTTAATTTGACTTTTAGCATTTTGATCATATTGGCGATTTAAATTCCAATTAAACTTTAAAATTGAAAAATTTATCTGGCTCACTCCAATTTCCCCCTTTTTTAAGCACTTGT